TATATCGTAAATGCTAAGAAGGAATAGTGTTGGGCTGAGAACTGAGCCTTGGGGACTACATTTTGTAAGATATGTGATGTAGATGTTTTACAGTTTCCAACTACTTTGAATGATCTCTCTTGTAAGAAATTGACCAAACAATATTAAAGACCTTTTAAATTCAAAAACCACTATATTTAACCTACTTTTGTTTTTAAAATACTTTAGTTTAGTAAGCAAAGTTTAATTACCTATTACCGTTCCGCTAATAACCTTGTTAGGCTAAAGGGCTTTTTCTTAAATAAAAAAACTTCTCCAAAATAGTAATAAATGAGTAAATATGTCATTTATAAGCCCCTTTCATGGATTATTTGCAGTTGTGTTTTTTCATACAATTTTATACTATATTACATATACCAAAGGTAATAAAAATCAAAATCAAATAAAAAATGACGTAATTTAAGTTTATTAAATAGCTGAATCATTAAATCTTGCAGGTCAATTATCATTTTCATATCCACATAAACAAATATTCGAAACGCTTCGATTCGAAGTAGGAGAGAAAATATTGATCAAACTTCACATCCTCCTGCTCCGTTGCTTTGAATTAAATCAACAAAAACCGTGAAACTTTCAGAAGCGCTTGAATTACACTCATTTAGTTTTGTAACCCTCAAGTAAAACTGTCTACTAAAGGGAGCTTTTAATTGTGTCCCATTTTCATGAAGTCAAATATCGTACTTTAGAGAAAATTAAAATATACGAACTTGTGTATATTTGTGGTACAAAAATCTGAAATTGTTTAATACAATACTCATATCAGCTGAATATTTATTTTATCAATAAAACAGTGATAGATAGACAGATAATGTAACATGGATTAATTCAAAACGAGGACTGCTGCATACGTGTCAAAGCACATTTTTTAAAAAAATATACTGTAACATCAGGTGCACATTTGAAATAAGTTCGGTAAGTAGTTACTAAGAAATAATTTTTTTTCTGAACCTATTCTCTATCCTTCCATTGTTGGATATAGGTCTCCCACAGTTCTCTCCATCATTTCCCTATCTTGAGCTGTTCTCTGCCATGTGGGACCTCCTTGTTTTCTGATGTCATCTTTCCACCTCATCTGTGGTCTGCCTCTTGATCTCTTTGCATTGTATGGACGCCACTTTCCGATGGCATTGTTCCATCGTCCGTCTTGGAGACGTTCATTGTGTCCAGCCCATTTCCATTTCAGTTTTGCTGCTTGTTCTATCGCGTCTACTGTCTTTGTTCTAGTTCTGATCCACTGGTTACGTTTTCTATCTCTAAGTGATACACCCAACATTTGTCTCTCCATCGCTCTTTGTGCCTTCCTTATCCTATCCAAATTGGCCTGTGTAAATGTCCATGTCTGTGCTTCGTAGGTGAGCACCGGTATGATACAGGAGTTATATACCCTGCTTCGTAAGTATAGAGGGATTGTTTGATTTTTTAGAACGTAAGAAAGTTTGCCGAACGCTGCCCATCCCATTCTTACTCGTCTCGATATTTCGGCTGTTTGATTTTCTCTATTAGCTTTGATTGCTTGTCCTAGATAGATATACTCATTTACCTGTTCTATTTTTTCTGTTTTTATTTTTATTGCCTCTTGGTCTTCCGTGTTTGTCATTACTTTTGTTTTGTTGAAGTTAATTTTTAGGCCTTTTTGCAATGATTTTTCATGAAGTTCATTTAGCATTAATTCCAGTTCTTGTCGTTTCGAGGAGATCAGGAGTATGTCATCCGCATATCTAAGGTGATTTAGGTATTTTCCGTTAATACATATTCCTCTGTTTTCCCAATCTGTTGATTTTATTATGTCTTCGAGGGTCAAGGTAAACAGTTTAGGTGAAATAATATCGCCTTGTCGGACTCCTCGTTTAACTTTTATATTATCCGTTATTAATTTGTCGTCCAGAATTACGGTCATGGTTGCGTTTTGGTAAATATCATGTATCAATTGTCGGTATCTTGAATCTATTCTACTATTGACCAGAGCTTCTTCAACCGCCCAGTGTTCAATGCTGTCGAAAGCCTTTTCATAATCTACGAATGCTAAGTACAGCGGAAGGTTGTATTCATTGGTTTTCTCAATTAAGATTTTAAGCGTATGTAGATGGTCGATTGTGCTGTATCCTTTTCTGAATCCGGCCTGTTCCACTGGTTGGTAGTTATCAAGTTTATAGGTTAGTCGGTTGTTTATTATTCTTGTGAAGGTTTTATATAGTTGTGACAAAAGGGAAATAGGACGGTAGTTGTTTAGGTCTGTTCGGTCTCCTTTCTTATGTATTAAGATTGTGTTGGCATTTCTCCATTGTTTGGATATTTTACCTTCAAACAGACATTTGTTGAACAGTATTTTTAGCATTTTTTTTATCGTGTCTCCTCCTTCTTTTAGCAGTTCCGCCAGTATTTTGTCCTCACCGGCCGCTTTATTTCTTTTCATGTCGTTTATGGATTTTTCGATTTCATCTTCAGTTATTTCTGGTAATACCTCTGAGCCAACATTTTGTATTTTCCTCGTGAGATTCTGTTTAGATGATAGTGGTGGGTCATTTTTAGAACTGTATAGGTCTGTGTAATATCTTTCTGTGATTTTTACTATTTCTCCTAGATCTCTTTCTTCATTGTTCTCAGCTTTAAGCATGATTAGTTTTCTTTTTCCTATATTTGTCTTCATTGTTTTTAAAATTTTGTTCTTCTCTATGATTTTCTTAATGCGGTCTTCTTGGTATTTCTTTAAATCTTCCTTTATCTGTCTTCTTATGGTTTTATTCAGTTCGGTATACTCCACTGTATTTCTTTTGTTATCGTTCAGTAGTTGTCGTCGTTTTTTTAGCATATCTTGTGATTTAGCGCTAATTTTTTGTTGTTTTCGCTTTTGTTTATTAGCAATCTTCAGGCCTGCTTCTAGTAGTTCTGTTGTTATTTTATCGTTTAATTCGTCTAGTTGCAGACCCTTTAGCTGCTTTAGCTGCTTTAAGAAATAATAAATTGTAACAAACACAAGATTTGATTTAAAGAACCTTTTTTATATTTTTTTATGTATTGTTCTGAAGCTATTTTCTTGTGGCATTTTAAAGTAATTACTATTTAAATGGAAATAAGCCACAATTATAGGTTAAAATACGTTTTAATTTCCACTTCGGAAATCGTTCTCAAAATATAAACATTAGTAAATTACAACAAATTTTGTTTTTTTGTTACTTTCTTCTAACAATTTAATTTTATCTGACTCATTTATATTGACAATTCAGACATACATTATACATTTTAAAGTAGACGACTTTAAAATGATATTGCCAATATTGTTGAGTTGCCCTCCTGGGACGACTTTACTTATAAGATAGTTCATTCGATTACATGAAATCAACTATAACTTGAGAATATTCGTCAGAAAAAATCATAGTATGTAATTCGTCTTTAAAAAGACAAACACATGCCATGGTGACAGTAACATTCTCCTGTTAGTGATTCCATAGTAAATTAAGAGGGAAAACCAGGAAAAAACCTCATAATACTATCCCGACATGGTAAGTATTTGGTCGTGCATTTGGTTTACTTTCAATAAACACCAAATTCTGATTTTATATGTGTGTTATTTAAAAAACATAAATCACATATTTTTTTATTGACCTGTAAGTTTCGTTCACATGCTAAGATTTAAGCACTTACAAATTAATTTTCTCATATATAACATAAACATATTACATTTTTTATATCAGATTGATCATTTAGTATTGTTTGTAACGTATCTTTTAGTTGTATTGTAACTTTTCTACGATATACGAAGGAAATTTACTGTAGTTTTGTTTTCGCTGTCTTTCAGCAGATATTTGGGTCCTATCTGTAAACGAGGTACAATGATTTTATGGAAACGATTTTTTGGGATTGATATATTTGATCATATTTACTTTTTACAGACTCTATTCACCATCATCTTTGGCTCGACAATCCTCTGTGAATCATGGCCTGCTCTCAGACTAGTCGCCATTTTGTTTAGTTTCTGGCAATACACGCTCTCCTTATAAAATCTATTTCTACTACTTCTATTCTTTTTCTATATTTTTTCATGATCTGCCAAACTTCTGCCACATAAGTCATAATAGGCTCTACCAAAGTTCGATAGATTGTCAATTTCGTTTCTTGTCTAATATCTTTAGACCATAGTAAAGAGTTTAGAATGTTTACCGCTTTTCTTCCCTGCTGCATTCTGTTTTCGATGTCTCTTTTGGTAGTGCTTCTTTAGATATTATAGATCCGAGATATTTATATTCATTGCATGTTTTTGTGTTTCTAATTTCTAATTTTGGATCTTTCCTTCATCATCTCCTATTTTAAGATACACTGTCTTTGACATATCCATATTGAGGCCCCATTTTTCATATTCTCTCTTTAGTTTTCTTAACATGTAGTCCATGTCTTCCTCATCATTCGCTACGACTACCTGATCATCTGCGAAATGTCTATTATCGTTCCCGATACTTGTTTCCTTCACTACTCTAGAGATGATTGAATATATATTTTAAATAGGGTCGAGATAGACAACATCCTTGAGACCTACTTTTGTCAATGTTTGAAACAGTTTTTTCAAAGGTACCGTATCGTATGCCTTCTCTAAATCTACAAACAATAGGTCGATAGATAAATTCCTTGCCTTCCACTTTTCGATTACCTACTGCAGAACGAATTTTATTCTTTCTTTTATTATTCGACCGTACGACCTCCCCACTGAGCTGATAACAGTTATTCCCCTTTAATTAGAGCATTTGCGTTTATCCCCTTTTTTGAATATTGAGCTGATACATCCAACATTTTAATCATCAGGAATATTTTGTCCCTTTAAGCATTTGTTAAATAGTTGAACCATATCTCATGTAATATTTTTTGTCCATACTTTGCATTACTGCTTATAATAATTTTTAGTGTTTATTATAGTTATAGTATGTTAGGACAATAAATATAATATATTTGGTGCTTTTTAGACTTTCAAAATGGAAGGAAAATATGCCACTGTCGCAAGACGTCATCCTGCAATTGAAAACCCAGCTAGCAACTGTCCTGTACCGAACAATTTGCGTCCAGTATCTAAAGTAGAATCATTGAGTTACTTGCCACAGTCACGAGATCATTTACCTCAAGCGTTGGACTTACGCATGGGACCTGTTGGACCTTGGGCTACCGGAAGAGTTGACTGGAATCCTCTGTCAGGTCTCACCGGTATAAGACCTGTAGTAGATACTTACTCAATTCATAGATTTAGTGAAAAAGATTGGAAGTTCCACAACAAAGAGTTAGTAGATTTAACTAATAAAGAACAGAAACGATCAGACGTAGTAGATTGGAATGGAAGACAATGTATGGTGCAATGCTTTGATGATATTGAAAAAACTCAAATGGATAACACTAGACGACTTAATCAAAGAGAATTGGAAATTCACACTTTCAAGTGTGAATTAGATAGAGCTATCAACGCTGCCAAAGAAGAAATATATTTTCTGGAACAAGAACGTCGTAGATTAAAGGAAGCCAGCAAAATTTTATTACTTCCAGAATCCATATCAGCAGAATGTCTTGAAAGAAGAACAGGGAGAATTGATGTTGAGTTAGTACGAGATGATGTAGAAGAGAAAATTATTAGGGAGGCAGCTTTATGTGCAGAGATAAGAGAATTGTTTGCCTCAACTCTTAATGACATTGAAAAGCAGTTATTAGAGAACAAAAGTGCCAAACAACGTTTAGAATTTGATTGGGCTGATAAAAAGCACGCACACGAAATAGACTCAATTAACATGAGACTAAGCAATAGCTCTTCTATTGATGTTAAATAAACCTGGATCAGTATATTTTAGTGAAGACCAGTCTAATCCAGATTTTTGGATCCATTTTACACAAGCAACACTTTCCGAAGCAGAGCGCACAAGACAAAAGTCTGTAGCATTAAGAGGTACTTTGGATGCTATATTAGTTAATGCAGCAAGAGATTTGAGAGTTACAGCAGACGAAATAGAAGATGCTCTAGCGAAAAGAATTGCTTCCGTTCAGGAAATACTCAGAAGGTTAGAAACTGAACTTAAAGTAATTTTGAGACAGGTAGTTGAAGTTGAAGAGCTTAAAGAGTCATTGAAGAGTGCTTTAGCTAAGATTGAAACTCCTATGAAAGTTGTTCAAACAAGAATAAACAGTCGACTAGATCGTCCTAGAGTCGACAACTGCAGAGATAATGTTCAATTTGGCCTTGTGGAAGAGGTAAAATCTATTGGAGTATCAATATCAGCGTTGAGAGCTGAACTAAGACAAGCTGAACATTCTGAAGTGAGACTGATTCAAATTAGAAATGCTTTGGAGAAAGAAATTATAATTAAGAAAAAGACATTAGAGATTGATATTCAAAGGACTAGAAACATTCGACTACATTTTCCATCTGCTACGGCTTTATCTGGGCATTAATATGAAAATTGTAAGTATTTTTAATCATTTACATTTCAGTTAATTGACTATGATTAAAATCTTCAAACGTTATATTTGATGGTGTTATCGAAATAATGTCATATTTTTAGTTGATTCTTTTTCGATGTCTTTAAGTTTTCAATCTATTATTACGTTACTTTTACTATTCCTGAGGTGATCCTGAATTATTGTCAAATTTTCGACCATTGTCTGTTTCATCTGTGATATCTAAGATTATTGAATATGCAATGCTAAAACAACTTTTATTATTTTTAGATATCAACCAAATTATCACAAAGCATCAACATGGATTTCGAAATAAATTTTCTACTTCCACAGCTATTAACAGTTTTTTATGATGAAGTCTTACTCTCAATTGAGAACAGTGAAAATCCAACTGCCATTTTTTGTGATCTCAGTCGTGCATTTAATTGTGTGCAACACGATGTGCTCCTCGATAGATTGTACAGATATGGTGTTAGGGGAGTTGCCCATAGTTGGTTTGTTTCCTATCTGAAAGACCGGCACCAAATAGTTAAAGTGAAAAATAACTTCAGGATTTCAATGTCTGATCCGATTATTAATAAGAATGGAGTACCACAGGGCTCAATATTGGGCCCTATATTATTTATTTTGTATATTAATGAACTACCACATGTAATGCCTGATGCATTTGTATCAGTTTATGCGGATGACTCAACAATGCTATATCGCGATAAAGACATAAATTTTTTACAAGATAAAGTAACAAACTCTCTGAAGACCTTCTCTGATTGGTCCAGTAATCAGTCGCTCCTGTTCAATGTTCACAAAACTAAATTTTTATCATTTACATCACGTTCAAATTCAACCAAACCTGATTTAAGTATTTCCATCAATGGTGAGGATATTTTGAGTTGTAGTGATGTGAAGTTTTTAGGAGTGACTTTCGACTCTCATTTATCTTTTAAGACTCATTGTTGGAATGTATGTAAAAAACTCAATTCTAAATGTTATCAATTGAGAAATTTGGGTAGAATACTTAGTCTGCAACACCTTCGTCTTTTTTATTTTGCTGAGGTACAATCGACAATAAGTTACGGTATAACTGTCTGGGGTGGTAACTGTCTGGGGTGGTTCTTCTAGTGTAAAGGACGTTTTTAAGGCCCAAAAACGTATTGTCAGATGTATAGCAGGTGTTCCGTATGGTTGGTCTTGTAAAAACCTATTTAGAGATTTCAATATATTAACAGTGTATGGAATTTACATTTTGGAATTATTGATACTAATTCATAAAAATAAAAGAACTTTTTTATGTAACAGTGATATTCACTCACACAACACAAGAAATAAGAGACAGTTTGTAGTACCCTATCGACATTTAGAAATAAGCAGGAAGTCATCTACTATCTGTGGTTTACAACTGTATAATCAACTTCCTCAAAATTTTAAAAACATTAATTCAACTACAGCTTTTAAAAACCAAGTCAAAGAGTACCTAGTGACCATGTGTCCTTATACATTAGGTGAATATTACGAGGGTGTATCTGTGAATGCCTAAGCTGCAACATAACCAAATTTATTAATATTTTAATTATATGTCTATATTGTACGTTTTTTAAGTATTTTAATGTCTTAAATATTTTTAATGTATTGTTTTCATTGTTTGTAATATTTAATATTTATAATTTTAGTTTTGACTTGCTGTAAACCTAGTTGTAATTTACAGTCAAATAAACTATCTATCTATCTATTCAATTTTAAACACTTAAAAAACAACATCAACGATGTCATTGTCAGACTAGGTAACTACGAAGTAAATAGGTCAGTTTATATACAGGGGTGTGCAATATTAGGTATAATGAACTTTCATATAAGACATTGTACGTCAAATTGAGATAATCGCAATTAAAAGTTTTAGATAAGGACTTCGACATATAATATTTAAATGATTAAGGGAAATAAGAAGAAATGTCTCGTTATATTGTTTTGAGAAAATAGGAAGATTAATGCTTGTGGCTACATATCTTTAAACCGTTGCATCAAAGAAATATTATTTGTTTTTATTTACTAACTTAAAGCACATTGTATTAAATATACAAACACATTTTAACCAAATTTTTAAAAACCATAGATAAAAAAATTAAAAAAGGTAACAAGTACAAGTAAAAACTGAAAAAAACAAGGACTCTCCAAACATGACGTTGTAGAGAATTAGTTGCACCAGCTGATAGAAAGGCTGAAAACAAAATTACTCTTAATATTATAAGGTAGAGGAATAAGGAAATGGTTAACTTACCCTTACTGGTAAAATTAAACCTAGTTGTGAGGTAGGGCAGCGTAATAGTCTTGAGCATACTGTTTACAGAACCTCATGAGCGTCAATAGATTTTTATATTTTGCAGCAGAAATTGGTAATAGATCTAAAAATGTAGAAGAAGCATTAGTTTTCCTTTTAAAAAATACACAACAACTTACCAGTACATGTAGATGGTGGAAGTTCAAACTTCTCCTCTGGTAATACTTTTCTGACTTTTATTATTTTGGAATTTATCGGAGTTATAGGGCTTTGTATCCAAAGACCTTGATAATTTGATTTAAAACTGATAAGTCTGGGATGCTTTCGGGTAGATTCTATTTGTTTAATTTTTTGTATTGGAAATGGGCATTTTTTGACACATTTTCTATTTCCTAAAAATGCATCCCACTTTTTAACCATAAATTGTTCCACTTCCACTGCCTGGAATGGTAGGTAGAAAAGTTGGAACCAGTCATTGGGTATTTTTATGTGCGTTTTCAGAGCCACGAGCCCCATATTTTTATCACATTACATATAGGAATGACCTCTTTTCTGGAAATGTTATTCTTATTGATTGCAAAAGTTTTGTATTGTTAACAACATAATAAATAAACTGAAATATTGCATAGTTTTTATTCTGGCCACTTGCTGAATCACAAAATATGTGTAAATGTTTGCGTTTTGATCCATAAAATTAGTAATATAAAGGAACAGGAATGACAACACTTGATTCGGTCCTTTCTTTGCAAATGTTTCCGGATATGAATAAAAAATGGATTGGATAGCCGACAATACATGGATATTAAAACTATACATAGATAACTGTCTTGAATAGTACACATTCGGTGTCACGTTTGGCAATGCAATATTTTTTGATAGTCTAATGCTAATGCAATGTTGGCTACATAGTCAGCAAGTAGTAGCAAGATTTTTTTAACTTTTGATTTGGTTTTTGTTTGTTTCCTCTTTCTTTAACCAGCTGTTCGATTTTTTAACAGGAGCATTTGATTTTCTTGCTTCTAGTTTTTTACTTAGGAATTCTGTTACTTCTCATTGTTCCAGTAGCGTGGTAGCCTCTGAATCTAAGGAAGTTGAATAGATTTACTATTCAACTTCCTTATTTCCCTATTTAAAGAGATTGTCAAAGTAAAAATGATATGGTAACTTCCTTTTTTGTGCAGGATATATTATATTGTGGCTAAACACCCCGTACTGTGTTACGCCGCTTAAGCTCGCTAGATCTATTTTACGAGGTAGATCAGTCCTCATTTTCTTTATTTAATTTTTCTTGTTATTTTTCTCCACTGTTTCCTATCTCTGGTTTTTCTCTCATGTCGTACCCCCCCTGTTGAATCTTGTTACTTCTTGAAGCCATGTAGATCTTGGTCTTCCACGTCTTCGTTTACCAGCTGGTGTCCATTCCAATATTGAGAATATTGTCGTAGATGGTCCTGATCTCCATATATGTCCTAGCCATTTTGCCCTTTGCTGTTTTATTTTACAAACTATATCCTCTTTAATTTCGTTTAGTAGTTCATGATTCGTTCTTTGTCTATATTGGTTTTCATTATTTTTATTGGTCCTAATATTGCTCTTAGTATTTTCCTTTCTAGTATTCTAAGGTCTTCCTCTTGTTTTTTTGTCATGCTAAGGGTTTCGGCAGCATACATCATAGTCGGTCGAATTATTGTTTTATATATTTTCATTTTCGATTTTTTGCTCAGTAATTTATTTTTTAGAAGCTTTTTATTTGCATAGTATGTCTTATTTGCTGTAATTATCCTTTCTTTAATTTCTGTTTCCCTTTCTCCATTGTTTGCTAATAATATTCCCAAATACTTAAACTTTTCTACTTCTTCAAATATATATTCTCCCAGTCTAACCTTTTTGTTTTCATATTTTTTGTCAAATCTCATTATTTTTGTTTTTTCTTGATTTATTACTAATCCCATTACTTTCCCTTCTGCTACCAATTCTTTTAACATACTTTCCATTTTTTTTCTGTTCTTTGTTATTATCACAATATCGTCGGCATATGCTATTATTTGTCCCTCTCTCGTTCTAAGTGTACCTTTGTTGATTTTTCTGACTATATATTCCAGGGCAAGATTAAACAGAGTTGCAGATAATGAATCTCCTTGACGTACACCTTTATTTATAACAAATTCTTCTGTGTCTCCTTCTTGTGTTTTTACAGTTACTACGGTTTTGCTCATTGTCATTTTTATTAATCGTCTTAATTTGTTGTGTATTCTCATTTCTCTCATAGCTGTAAGTAATTTCGCTCTGTTTATTGAATCAAATGCTTGTTGGAAGTCTATAAAAAGCAGTTCAATTTCTATTTTATATCCATAAGCTTTCTCCATAATTTGCTTTACCGTATGTATGGCATCTGTTGTTGACTTTCCCCTAATAAATCCGCATTGATACTGTCCCATGATATTTGTTGTCGCTTTGGCCAGTCTTCGTTGTATTAAGGTTGACATGATTTTATACGCTGTGTTTAATAATGTCAGTCCTCTATAATTATTACACATTTGTTGGTCTCCTTTTTTATGGATTGTGATAATTTGTCCTTTGTGCCATTCTTCTGGCATCTTTTCTTCGTCCCATATGACTTTTATTAATTGGTATATTTTTTCTCTGAGTTCATGTCCACCATATTTTATTAGTTCCATGTTTATACCGTCTATACCTGGTGCTTTACCGTTGCGACTACTGT